TAAATGAAATAGAGAATAGAAAAACAATTGAAAGAGTTAACAAGACCGAAAGGTGGTTCTTTGAAAAGAGCAACAAAGTTGATAAATGATTGACCAAACTGACAAAAGAAAAACAGGAGAGGAAGCAGATAACCTGTATAAGAAATGAGATAGGTGATACCACAGTAGACCCAACTGAAATTAAAGGAATCATAACAGAATACTATGAAAAATTGTACTCTAACAAATTTGAAAACCTAGAGGAAATGGACAAATTTCTAGAAACTTATGGCCTACCTAAACTAACACAAACAGAGGTAGAACAACTAAATAAACCCATTAACAAAAGAAGAGATTGAAAAGGTAATTTAAAAACTCCCAATAAAGAAAAGCCCTGGCCCACATGGCTTCACTGGAGAATCCTACCAAATTGTCAGAGAAGAGTTAACACCATTACTACTAAAGGTATTTCAGAGCATAGAAAAGGATGGAATCCTCCCAAACTCATTCTGTGAAGCCAGCATAACCCTGATACCAAAACCAGGTAAAGACACCACAAAAAAAGAAAATTACAGACCAATATCCCTCATGAACATTGACGCAAAAATCCTCAACAAAATTCTAGCCAGTAGAATTCAGCAACATATCAAAAAAATAATTCACCATGATCAAGTGGGATTTATACCAGGTATGTAGGGATGGTTCAACATTAGAAAAGCAATCAATGTAATCCATAAATAAAACAAAAGACAAGAACCACATGATCTTATCAATCGATGCAGAAAAGGCATTTGACAAAGTCCAACACCATTCCTGATAAAAACACACAGCCAAATAGGAATAGGAGGGAAATTCCTCAGTATACTTAAGGGCATTTATATAAAGCCAACAGCCAACATTATCCTAAATGGAGAGACTTTGAAAGCATTCCCCTTGAGAATGGGAACCAGAGAAGGATGCCCTTTATCACCACTCTTATTCAACATTGTGCTGGAGGTCTTAGCCAGAGCAATTAGGCTAGAAAAAGAAACAAAGGGCATCCAAATTGGTAGGGAAGAAGTCAAAGTATCTCTATTTGCAGATGATATGATCTTATACACAGAAAACCCCAAAGAATCCGCAAGGGAAGTACTGGAGTTAATAGAAGATTTCAGCAAAATTTCAGGATACAAGATAAACATACAAAAATCAGTAGGATTCCTTCACACCGACAAAGAGAACCTCAAAGAGGAAATCACCAAATCAGTACCATTTACAATAGCCCCCAAGAAGATAAAATACTTAGGAATAAATCTAACTAGAGATGTAAAAGACCTGTAGTGAAAACTACAAGATACTACTGCAGGAATCCAAAAGAGACCTGCATAAGTGGAAAAACATACCTTGTTCATGAATAGGAAGACTCAACATTGTGAAAATGTCAGTTCTACCCAAAGTGATCTACAGATAAAATGCAATCCTGATCCAGATTCCACCATCATTTTTTAATGAGATGGAGAAACAAATCACCAACTTCATAGGGAAAGGGAAGAGGCCCTGAATAAGTAAAGCATTACTGAAGAAGAAGAACAAAGTGGAAGGCCTCACACTACCTGATTTTAGAACCTATTATACCGCCACAGTAGTCTAAACAGCCTGGTACTGATACAACAACGGATACATAGACCAATGGAATAGAATTGAGAATCCAGACATAAATTCATCCACCTATGAGCAGCTGATATTTGACAAAGGCCGAAAGTCCATTAATCGGAGAAAAACAGTCTCTTTAACAAATGGTGCTGGCACAACTGGATATCCATGTGCAAAAAACTGAAACAAGACCCATATTTCCCACCATGCACAAAAACTAACTAAAAATGGATGAGAGACTTAAATATAAAATTGAAAACGATAAAGATCCTGGAAGAAAAAATAGGGACAACGCTTGGAGCCCTAATACGTGGCATAAGCACGATGCGAATCATAAGTAACAACGCACAAGCACCAGAAGAGAGACTAGATAACTGGGAGCTCCTAAAAATCAAACATTTATGCTCATCAAAAGACTTCACCAAAACAGTAAAAAAGACAACCTACAGACTGGGAAAAAATTTTTGGCTACGACAAATCCAATCAGCGTCTAATCTCTAAAATCTACAAGGTACTGCAAAACCTCAACAACAAAAAGACAAATAACCCAATTAAAAAATGGTTAAAGGATATGCACAGGCACTTTGCCAAAGAAGCTATTCAGGCAGGTAACAGACACATGAAGAAATGCTCATAATCATTAGCCATTAGAGAAATGCAGATCAAAACTATAATGAGATACCATCTCACCCCAACAAGGCTAACATTAATCCAAAAAACACAAAATAATAAATGCTGGAGAGGTTGTGGAGAGACTGGAAGAGTTATACGTTGTTGGTGGGAATGTAAAATGGTACAACCACTTTGGAAATCGATTTGGCGCTTCCTTAAAAAGGACTTGGAACTTTTTGATCACAAAGGTTTTTTTCTAGTGCTCATATTTCTCCCCTTGAAAGAGTCTGTTGGATTACTTTGTGAAAATGTTCTTGCTATTCAGGGTGCTTAAAAAGTTTTGGAAATAAATAGTGGTGATGGTTGTACAACATTGTGAATATAATGCTACTGAATTGTACACTTGAAAATGCTTAAAATGGCAGATTCCTTGTTGTATATATTTTACCACAATAAAATTTTTTAGAAGTTCTTAATTATATTGAGGTAAAATCTACTTTCCTGTAATAAGTAACCATTCCTGTTTTTCTTAATTATGTCTTTTAGAGTCATTCAGATCAAATCTGCTCCACTTTTCACCGAGGATATCTTTGATCAGATTAAGAATCCTACCACTCTTGACAGTGGTGCCAACAAATCTTGCAGACTGATGTTTGAGTTCAGCTTCTTTCCCTAGGTTGGTGGAATTGGGTCAGTAAGAATTGGGAGAATTCAGGGGGAGCGCTAAGGACAATTGAGATGTTTATTCCTTTCTCTTGAAATTTTCACTTACAGTTGGAAGGCCTTCAGGTTTAGGAAAACACTCAGAAAGTACTAGAAGTGCTTGAATATTCCAGAAACTCCTGTATCACTAAAACTTCTGTCTCTGTGGAGAGTCGTGATTCTCCCTGAGCATAAAGAGCCTACGTGTGGGCTGCTTTCTCCCACTGAAATAAATGCCTCTTCATCATCTCTTCCACCTAGTGGTCTCTGGTGAGGATGGTGCAGAGTCCGACCATCTGCTAGTTTTAATTTGTCTGGAAACAGGGACCCATTGAGGTTGAGGAAAACCCAGTTCCTCCATCTGCCTAGCTGAATTACTGCAACAACTCCATTTTACCCCATATGTTGCTAACACTCTACAAAGTGAAAAATGACCAAAACTGGGGAACAGAGACAACCTTTGAGGCTGTGTAATGTGTTTCATGGGTTGGTTTGAGGAGAGGAGATTGCTGGGACTGTCCTCTGTGCAGACATGTCTGTCTCCATTCATATAACTCAGAAATCCTATTTTAGGCACCCTTGCTAGGTAGTCATCTAGGTTTTAATTAATTTTTTTTTTATTGATCGGGAGTTTATTTCTTCCCCTTTGAGATAATCCATTGGATCACTTTGAATATTCTTTATAACTTTGACTTGAAATCTGCTTCCCTGTAATATCTAACCATTTTACTTTTACTAATTATATCTTTTCAAGTCTTTCAGACTGCTTCATTTTTCTCTGAGAAGCTCTTCAAAATATTAAGAGAGTTTTATCCTTTTTTTTGTTTATTGGTATCTTCTTGTACCCTGAAGAGCTCCCCCTGGGAAGGGTAATCCATTGAATCCATATGCAAATTGATTAATCATTTTCTTGTCCTGGACAATGGATCAGATGAGATTCCAGAAGAAATAGTTAATTTTGGAGCAATCCTGGGTGAATTGTGTTATAGCAGTCTGTACGGAGCCTGAGGGTGTTAGGAGTCTAGGGGGGGCCAGAAGAAGACAGTTTGGGAGTAGTAGAGGGTATAAAAAGTGGGGACAAGATGTCCTAGCGATCGATTGCCTGTTGCCTAAGGGTGATTTAAGAGTCCTGCATTTTAACCTTGCCTTGCTCCTGATGAGCTCTGTAATTCTGAGTAGTCACTTCTGGTTCGTAGTTTTCTTACCTACAGTGTGAGAGAGTTAGATAATTCAGTAGGCACTAGGTAGCCCTGAAAGTGTTATGAACCAGTACCAGAAAATAGACTAAAAGCATTATAAGAAATTTCTGCCCAGATGTCTGACTTGGCCTCCAGGACACACATATCTTTGAGACTAGCAAATTTAATTCTGAACTTCTTTTTTCCTTTTAATAGACCCCTTAGTCTTTATGGGTTATAGAAGCAACAGCTCCTTAAGAGATCTATATCCAGAAAAGCTGAGTTCATGTAAGCTAGAGCATCCCCAAAAGAGAGACGACACAGTTTAGTGGAAAGAATATTGAATTGAGAGCCTGAAGACTCATTTTAAGTCCTGAATCTGCCACTTCCTTGCCAATAAAACCTTGGGATAGTGAGTTTATTTCTCTGTTCCTCAGGATCCTCAGCTGTAAAATAAGAGAGTTAAACTAATATTCAAGCTTTCCTAACTGAGCCTTGCAACCAAGAAGTGAAAGAATGGAGCTAGAAGCCCCAGGACTTGAAGTCATCTGGGATAGCAAGCTATTCCTGGCCAAGAGCTTGATACTGAAACTTCTTTCCAATTGTGCCTTGGCCTAACTGGATTCATGGTGCTTTATCTGATTGCCTTACTGGCTGACTGGCTTGTCGTTGTTGTTGTTACTAGGTGCTGTTGAGTTGGTTCTAACTCTTAGCGACCCTGTGTACAACAGAATGAAACACTGCCCAGTCCTACGCTATCCTCTTGATCGTTGTTATGCTTGAGCCCATTGTTGCAGCCACTGTGTCAGTCCATCTCGTTGAGGGCCTTCCTCTCCTTCGCTGACCTTTCACTTTACCAAGCATGATGTCCTTCTGCAGGGACTGGCCCCTCCTGACAACATGTCCAAAGTAGGTGAGATGAAATCTTGCCATCTTTGCTTCTAAGAAGCATTCTGGTTGTACTTCTTCCAAGACAGATTTGTTTGTTCTTTTGGCAGTCCATTGTATATTCAGCATTCTTTGCCAGCACCATAATTCAAAGGCGTCAGTTCTTCGGTCTTCCTTAATCATTTCCCAACTTATTCAATGCATACGAGGTGATTGAAAACACCATTGCTAGGGTCAAGCGCACGTTAGTCTTCAAGGTGACATCTTTGCTTTTTAACACTTTAAAGAGGATTTTTGCAGCAGATTTGCCCAGTGCAATGGGTTGTTTGATTTCTGGACTGCTGCTTCCATGGACGTTGATTATGGATCCAAGTAAAACAAAATCCTTGACAACTTGAATCTTTTGTCCATTTACCATGATGTTGCTTATTGGTCCAGTTGCGAGGACTCTTGTTTTCTTTATGTTGAGGTATAATCCATATTGAAGGTGTACCTAATTTGATCTTCATCAGTAAGAGCTTCAAGTCCTCTTCACTTGCAGCAAGCAAGGTTGTGTCATCTGCATAATGCGGGTTGTTAATGAGTCTTCCTCCAATTCTGATGCCGTGTTGTTCTTCATATAGTCCAGCTTTTTGGATTATTTGCTCAGTATACAGATTGAATAAGATTTGAGTAATTTTCAAATGTCACCCACAGATATCCCAAATGAGAAGAAGGTGAACTCATTTGAGGGACGGGGGGCATCATAGCAGTAAAGGTGAGTGCTGAGTAATAGTTCAAGCCAAATGATAGATTATATTTAAATGTTACATTAAGAAAGACTCATGTAAATTCTGCATTCCGTAATATTTCATTCTATTCTGTAATATATTTGTGCTTATTTTAATATCATCATCATGTTTTAAATTATTTTTAGGGAAAAGAAAACTTTCCTCCTCTGTCTGTTCCCATCATAATCTTAGTAGATGGCAGAGTTAAGTCTAGAAGAATAATAAAAACTGTTCAGTTTATTTCAGAGGAGAGATTGAAGAGGACTTCCATTTAAATTTATATTTTTATATTACTTGAATTTATTACAAGTATATAATCTTAAAAAGTGAGTTTTTAACAACACGTACTTTTTCTCCCCAAAATCATTGAGTAAAACCAGTAGTGCAGGGAGAGTCTGTATGCCTTTTCTGTGGGGATATATACTTTTTGACACATTACTCTAATATGAGAAGCGTAGGGCTAGAAGAAGATGACAACCTTGTCCTGATCTTTTCTCAGAAATATTTTGATGGTTCATAGGCTGAATGATAACTTTTAATGTTAGTGTTTCCCAGACTATTTGCTATAACCTATTATGGGCAAATTTGATAATTTCAATTATGGGAGGTAGAATGGGAGATGTGATTGTTGCAGTCTTTTTGAGACACAGCATGCTGTAGTACAAGAGGAGAGGACTGGGCTTCAGAGTTAAAAAAAAAAAAAAAAAAATGCTGGGAAAAAAAAAAAAAAACCCCAAACAAAAGCAAAACAACTTGAGTTCTATTTATGAGTTATGAGGCCTTGATAAGATAGCTAACTTCTCTAAACTCCAGTGACTTTATTTAGAAATGATCCCTATCACCTCTTAGGGTTGTTGTGAAGATTAAGTAAGATGATATGTGTGTAAATGCTCAGCATAGCACTTGGCGCAGAATAAATACTTAATATTTTTTTCCTTGCTTCTTTCTTCTTATTGAGATGCACTTTATTTCTTTCAGAGAGTTTTCATATTCAAGATCTATTTTGATCCTCACAGCTCAAGTTGTGCCATCCTTACCTTATAAGTGAGGCCCAGAGAGAGAATGTGACTTATTTGAGATCACATCCAGCATTAGTGGAAGAGCTAGGACTGGAAATCAGGTTTTTTGACTTCTCTCAGGCTCTTATTCTGCACTTAAGTTTGGGGAATTTTTTTTTTTTAATTTAAACTAGATTATGGGTATTATTTATGCTAGGAATTTACTTCTGTCAAAATAATGAAGCCTTAAGACTTAGTGAGAATTTAACATTGGTCTTGCCTCTGTATCTTGTGGTTTACTCAACATCTCTGCAGGCTATCTGTTGGAATAGAGGGTTCAGCCATCAGGTAAATGTAAAGCAGAAAGCTACATAGAATGGTTTCCTTTAAAATCTTACTTGTGGAGGTTGAGAGTCAGGTGTGGTATAACAAAATAAGCATCAGATCTTCTAATAAAAAATTCTGGATTTAAGTTTCAGAACTACTTTGGCCAAGTCAAAAAAATAATTGCACAGAATAGGAATTAGCTATTAAGGAAGATGTCATCATCAACAAGTAATTAATTAAATAATTAAGGCAAATTACTGCAAATCAGCCATTATTCTTTTTGTCAAAGGAAATTCATTTTTTTAAAGAAAAAGTTCTTTTCCTCTCTCAAATATGCTATTTTTAAGTCTTTCTGTATGTCTAAGATCATATATCAGAGGTTTCTTAGAATTTTAACTTCTTAGAGTTACCTCTGAAAAAATAATAACAAAAATTTTATTTACTTCCTTTACTATTTAGCAGAGTACAAATGTGCAAACTTTCTTCACTATAAGCAAAATTTCTAAAGATAATTGCAGTTGAGATCCCAGTATGGAAAAAACTATATGCTCTACTTTCTTCAAGAGGTGGTGAAGACACAATTCCTGCTTTCCAAGAGCTCATTCTAGTAGGGACTACAGATATGTAAGTAATTAACCATTCTACATGAGAGAAAGACTTATATAAAGAGGTATGAGGAACACACAGGAAGATGTAAATAATTCTACCTGAAGAGATCACATCTGAATGGCTTTGAAAGTTGAATAAAATTTCTCCAGATAGACAACGGACTAGTGGAGGGTAGGGCAGGAGATTGAACAGTCCAGGCAGAGGGAATAGCATATATAAAAGCACAGCAGTATGAAAGTACATGTTTTAAATGGCAAATCTTATGCTATGACTTGAATGTATGCTACATGGAGTGGAACTGGCAGAGAATAACTTAGAATGGGAGGCTGGGCCTAAGTTGTAAAGATCCTTGAAAGCCAAGCAGAGCAAAAAGATCAGGTAATATGGCGGACTGGGGCTCAGTACACTGAGTCTTTGAGCCCCTGGATTTTAAGGATAGTATTTTAGGCCTTCAGAGTTCTCTATTTAGTTGGAATCAGAGGTCCTTAGGATTGGAAGGGCCCTTAAGAGTTATCTAGAAACCCTATGGGGCAGTTCTGCTCTGTCATAGAGGGTCGCTATGAGTCAGAATTGACTCGACAGCAGTAGGTTTGGTTTTAGTCTAATAGTTATTAGGTCTTCTTGTGCATTAGAATTCCATGTAGAAATTTTAAAAATAAGATAAATATTCCCAGTTTCTACCTCAGATATCTTTAATCAGACTCTCCAATGTCTTTTTTTTCTTTTTTTTTAAATAAGCTTTCTGGGTGATTCTCACATAACCAGTCAGAGCTGTGAGCCAGTGTTTGAGAACCACGGGTCTAGACTAATCCTCTTTCTCTTCCAGTTCCGACCAGTACTGTAGTCTGTACTTCAAGAAAGGAAAATTCACTTCCAGCTCCCTTGTTTCCTACTCTTTTCACATCTAGGCCTTAACTCACTTCATCCTCACTTCTGTAACATTTTCTTGACCCAGCATTTCCCTTCACACGGAAAACAAAACAAAAATTTACTAACAACAAAAGAAGCCCCCAAACACCCAACTGTTTATTGTCTATCTAGTATATCCCTGGTGTTATGCTAGTTGCTTATCCATATTTAGTTTATAATTCTTAAAATAACCCTGTGGAGAAGGTATTATTATTCCTATTTCTACAGAGTCTAAATAACTTGATCAAGGTCACATCACTATCAGGTGACAAAACTGAATCTTGAAACTTAGGGTATTTTAACTCTTTGTTTTTATTAGTATTTGCTGCTGCTTCCAATCCCATCTTTTGTTGTTCTTCTTGTGAACAGATCTCCTCTTCATCAAAGATGAGATCTGTAAATCTAGGTCCTTAGCTTTGATCAGGCCTGAAGCGTCTCTATCTTCTCTCCTAGCCAAATCCTTATCCCAGCCAAGTCCTAGTTCCTTCATGAAGGTCTTCTCCCTATACTCTTACTTATTTCCAAACTCCTCTGAATAAAAGCACTTATTAGCTATACTGCATACTTGGTATCTTTTGGCTAGTCTTAAATTATTTCATTTCTCATGTATTATTTCTTATGTCCTTATCTAGACTGTAGGCTTCTTGGACTCAGGGACTATGGTTCATATATCATTACATTCTGTACCCTGCAATGCTTCAGAATGTTTTACATTGTTGGTACACAATAAATGTTCGTTGATTGACCAGCTGGAACATTTGGGAGATTTCTTCTGTCCATGTCAAATTACATATGTGGCAGAAGGGACTGTTGTGCCAGAGATTGAGGTGACTTTGAAGTAATCTTTTAGATTTCTTCATCAGTACAAGTGAGCCTTTGGAGCTCTGAGAGTAGCTCTATAACATTTTTCCTTTTTTCTATTTTCATTACTACTCTCACCAGAAGCCCTGTGTGACTCTTCTTCAGGGCCTGTTAGCCATCCTGATGGACCCTTCCTCTTCTGCAGGGTCCCTTTGACCTTGAGTTCGTCAGTTTCTCCCTTTGGGCCTCTGTGTCCTCATTAGTAAATAAGATCAAAGTAATCTTTAAGTTCCTTTCCAGCTCTAATATTTTATGATGCCATTGTCTAGAAGCTCTGCTGAATGGTGGAACAAATTATGTATCATGTTTCTTTGTCATAGAAGCCAAATGGGTTTATTGAACAGGTTCTGCAGAATAAAAACATCTTAATCTAAGCCCCAGACTTAGTTGGCATATTAGTATTGGTGATCTGTGTGGATTTTTGTCAAAAGGAAACTTTGAACGTAGGAACTGTGATGTTTGTCAGTGTTAGCAGCTACAGCTGTGAAATCCATGCTAGGAAAAGGTGATTGACGTCTTTAGGCCCATTTTGACGAGTGTGATATTACTTTCAAATGTACACAGCATTTCAGTTATTTTTACCTCATCTGGATCAGATTCTGGGGCTTGTTCCCCTCCCCTGGGAAGGTGGGTAGACAGCTTAATGATGGCTCTGCCTGCCAGGGACATTTGGTCTTAATAATGGGCTCAAAATTTTCCCTGTGTTCTGTTGGGAATTTCAACTGTAATAAGGAAACTTAGTTGAAAAATACTTCGATGTGGGAAAAAATAAGCACCTTAACTGAAATCAGGTTGCTATCATCACTGACTCTGAGCATGTATTCTTTTTCCACATAAATGTCTTTATTTCTGAGTGTCCTACCCCTCTTTGCTGATACTCTAACTATATATCCTAACTGTTCTAATAGAATCTAACAGAAAGAGCAGAGTAAGATGTTTTGGGTTCTGAAGACCTCCAACATTTAAAGGTGAGTAGAGGAGCCCTGGAGGCACAGTTGTTAAGAGCTTGGCTGCTAACCAAAAGGTCAGCAGTTCGAATCCACCAGCCGTTCCTTGGAAACCCTATGGGGCAGTTCTGTTCTGTCCTGTAGGGTCGCTATGAGTTGGAACCGACTTGATGGTACATAACAACAACAACAGAGGATGACTCAGCAAAGGTGACTGACAAAAGACAGGAAGGTAGGTTGGGGAACCAGAAAATTATAGGGTCACTGAAGCCAAGGGAAGAAAACTTTCAAGAAAAAATTGTCTACACATGATGTCTTTTTTTCTCACCTTCCACTCACTCTTCAACCAACTATACTGGCTTCTGCACCAACTCTCCCTCAACTGCACTGAAATGGCTCTTTTCAAAGGACCATAACCCCCAGTTGTACAAATTTGGTAGACATTTCTCTGTCTTCATTGAACTTGCTGTCTCAGCAGCTTTCAGCACAGCTAGCCATTCTCTCCTTTCTCCCATCTCAGTGGCTCTTTTTTCTTAGTACCCTTCCCTGGTTTTTCCCTCCTCTCCCTGATCTCTAAACGTTGGGTTCCTTGGAGTTCAGACTTGGGCCCTTTTTGCTTCTCTTTCTAAAAACTTTTTTTTATGTGATCTCAACTATTGCCATAGATTTTGAACCATCTTGATCTTATAACTTACAAACTTTTGTCTCCGGTAAGCCTTCTCCTTTAAATTCCAATTACCTAGTTGACATTTCCACTTAGATGTCTCATATACATGTCCAAAACAAACTCTAGATTTTTTCCCTTCAAACCTGTCTTCTCCCCGGTGGTTTTTTTGCATTATAATAAATAGCACCACCATCCTCCCAGTCAAACAAGAACTTTGGAGTCAGCTTTGGCCCCCTCCAGCATTCTAACACCATAATCTAACTCCAAGTCAAGTCAGTTCTACCTCCAGAATTTATCTCAAATAACTGCATTTCTTTCTAGTCCAGGTTACATCAATTTTCACTTAGACTCTTGAAGTAGCCTCTTAACTGGTCCTCCTGCTTCCAGTCTCGCCTTCTTGTAATTCTTTTTCCATATAGCAGGGAAAGAGGTCCCCTAAAAATATAAATTTCATAGGGCGTTTATGAGTTAATGATGAAGTTAAGCACTTTCATATTGAACGACAGATTCTTGTTGGCTCCTTCCAAATCCTACAGCAGGTCAGGGAGTGGTTTTGAAGAGAAGCCAGGTGTCCTGACAACCAGTCCACAATTCTAGAAGGCCATTCTCACTGTTCTGATTCCAAATGACATTTTCTCTAAGTTAAATAAAGGCAAAACACACAGCTTCTTTGTTTATTCTGTTATAAGATTTCTGCTATTATATTGTATTATAAAATTCATTTGTAGTCAGAACTTCTGCTTATGTCTTAGGGCTTAGAGCCTTTGATGAGATTGGTCCTTACTCCCAATGGAGTGATAGCGTCTTTACTGAGAATCGATTAAAAAAATTTCTCTGTGTTAGACTTCAGATATACAAAGATGAATAAGGTACAGCATCTGCCCACAAATATTTATAATCTAGTAAGCCATGCAAGGTACATTAAATATTACCTATAGTAGATGTATGTAAAAAAGGCTATAGTAGAAAATAAGTAGTGACTGATTTGGCCCAGGGTTAGATGGAGTGAGAAAGACTTAAAGAAGGAGATGATACTTGAGCTAAATCGTAAAGGATGAATAGAAGTTTACCATAAAAGAGAGAGAGTACTTTGGAAGGTAACAAGAGCACAGGTGTGAAAATACGCCAGAAAACAATATGGAAATGTCACCTAAAATTGCACAGTGACCCCTAGATCCAAGAGGAAAGAAATTGTGCACCAGAAGACAGAGACCTTGGGAAGCAAGGATAAGGAAAGATGAAACGGGATCAAGTTAAGAAGAAGAATTGCCTGTCAAGAAGAAAATGAGGCATTACATCAGTGAGAATGGTGAAGTAAAGGCCTCTGAAAATCCTCTGCATAAAAGCAACAAGAACACTGGCAAAATTGTCATAATCAACTTTTTCAGAACTCTGAAAATTAACAAAAGGCCTGCAGCAATCCGGGCAGGATTTATTCAAGAAAAACAGCTGAATCACCATAAGAACAGCAAGTTTTTTGGCATTGTAACTTACCCTATTTCCATCTCCACTCCTCAGCTCCACTGTAGCCTTGAAAACCAGGAGCCTACAGTTACCATTAAAACCAGCAGCCACTGGAAGGAGCAGAATGGGGTCGGAGCTCCTTCAAAGCCCCGATGCCATAGAATTGCCATTATTTGACCTGTCTGGTGGTTCTCTAGAATACCTCACTTACAAAGCTTGTTTTTAATAATAGGACTAGGAGTGAGCTCGGTGCCAAAAGCATTTTTCCTGGGGGCATTTGTCAAAAACAGTCAGTGGCAGTTGTTTAACATCATGACTGCCTGAGGTGGTAGAAGATTACAAGGAAATTCTGGGGAATGAGGTGTTCATAGGAGACTTAGGAAGAGCTCTGACATATTCCTGGGAATCTAGAAGACCATCCATATGTGCAGGGCTGTGTATGTACCCAGGAAAGACCTGAGAAGGCCCTAATCTCTCACCTCTGGCTAACTTTAGACACTGTAGTAGCAGGATGTATAGGGTAGGGCATAGTTGTAAACTGCCTGGCTGAGTATTGAAGGTGTGTCCCAACATGCACATAGACTCCTTGGCAAAGACTGGGGGAGTTATTGATTCCTGGAATTTAAGGTAATC